TTTACATCCAAAATAACAATAATTTATGGTATAAATAAAAATTCTCACTATTTTATTTACAATTCCATGAAAACAACATCTTTTTTTATTATCCCTGGAAGCACCCTTTCCCAAAATTGTAGGTATTCCTATCTTGGTTTCTCAGAAGGAAGGCCCAGTGACATTGTGATAAACCACAGAAGGATATGACACTTTTTTTCCAGTGCTAAAAGTGTCACGGCGTTCGCTTTCTGATCTAAATGGATGCCTGGTTTCTGCATTATTCACCAGCCTTTCCAGATGAATATGACCTTGTTGGATTTAACCTGTCACTTTGGGTTTGTCTCTCTCTCTCTCTCTCTCTCTCTCTCTCTCTCTCTCTCTCTCTCTCTCTCTCTCTCTCTCTCTCTCTCTCACTCTCTCTCTCTCTCCTCTCTTCTCTCTCTCTCTCTCTCTCTCTCTCTCTCTCTCCTCTCTCTCCTCTCTCTCTCCTCTCTCTCTCCTCTCTCCTCTCTCTCTCCTCTCTCTCTCTCCTCTCTCTCTTCTGTGACCGGTGACACTTTAGTATGCATGGGCAGCCTCAGGCACTGGAGAGCTAAGGTTATGATGAAGTATGCATTAATTAACAGTGCCGACAAACACACTGATATTGAGGTAAAGCGAGATCTTTGCACTTGAATTGGGTGGGTGGCTTGCTTAACTGAGGTCTTATTACAGATTAGTTTTCTTATACAAGGTATTGGTTTTCAAAAGATGCAAGTTGTGATATAATCATAGTTTTAAAAAGGTTGCCCCTAAAACATTACACAAGATAAGTACTTCGGTAATAAAGTGCAATATGTAGTGATTTTGTTCATTCGTTTTTGTTGGTACAGCATTAGTGACATGCCCACAAAAAATGCAATGCTGCTCCCCCATGTGTCAGATTATATACTGAATGTTCTCAAAGGGATTTCTGAATGAAGGGCCTTTACAATCTCACTAAAACTTACATTAAGTACTACTCACAGCACTAAGTACACAATGGTTGACCTGTGACTGATGGCTGTGCAAGTGCTGTAAACCGCAAGCTAAATGTCATGAAAACACAACAGGATAGTTTACTCAAAAATGACATTTCTGTTTTCATATACTTTTTTGTCCATACATTGAAAGTCATTTGAGAACACTGGGCCTCGTTCATGAAATTTTAGAAAATGTACGAGTAAATTCAGAGTAATTTGTAAGTAAAATGGACCGAATTCACAAACGCATCGCTAAACAATCATTTGTAAAAAGGGATGCACGAACACATTTTAACTAAAATGAATTATTACATGAAAATGTAAAACGTGCAGGCAAATACTATTGGTGTAATCTATAATAATAATAAAAGAAAATGGATTACACAACCACTTTCAATAATTTGTTTTATATATTACACTTATTTCCACATTTAACTAATGTTAACATCTGGATGTTTTACGCACCATGTACATGTGGTTTAGCCTGGGAAAACCCAGACAACTTCCGGCAAATTTAGATTTGCTCTGAAAGTTAGTCTAGCAAAGAGCTGATTCAAGCCCATTTCCAATCCGTCGAAATCGAGGCACCAATCAGAAACGTTGGGGTCGGCTTTACGCGATGACGAAAGCAGATTTTGTAGCCTACTTTACAAAGATGGATGCCGCCGTCGAACATCACTCGTTCGAATCAGCTATCGCGTCTGTTTTAAGCGATTTGAACGTTTCCTTTTTGTTAAAAACCGAGCAAAGAACAACACTCGGAGTGTTTCACAATGTTTCTCCGCCGCTCTGCATACATCATCTCCTTCATCGCTCTGATTGGTTTTAGGTCTATCCGCGACGTCCGTTGGTGACGCCCCTCTGGAAATGATTTGTCTATGACGCTTTGCCAGACCATAACTCAGTTACAACTGAGAATGCTCTGGTTTTAACCAGGCTACATGTGGTTGGGAGCAGGTGTACGTTTTTTTTCATACCAACTAACATAAAAAAAAAAAACACTTTTGCTTTATGCCCAATTTCCACACAAAAAAAAATCATTAATGAGGCCCAATGTTTTTTTGGATCCCACTGACTTGGACAAAAACAATTGAAACATTCGCTGAAAATATCTTCTTTTGTGTTCTAAGAACGTTATACAGGTTTGGAACGACATGAGGGTGAGTAAATGCTGACAGAATGTTCACTTTTGGGTGAACCAACCCTTTAACCGGTTTGCGCGTTCCTTTGCAATCCTCGCAGCTAGCAGTGCAGTGATCCGCATGGTTTTTGGCTGGCTGGAAAAGTGCTTCAGAATGTGAGAGCTCGAGTTGTGGTGAAGGGGGAGAAAGAGCAAATTGTTTTGGAAGAATTTCACCACAGCCTCTGTTGGGGAGTGAAATGAAAGGGGATGACGTTCGATTGTTCCCACATAGAATTACACAATGTTCATCACAATGATTCTCTTGCTCAAGTCGAAAACCTGACAAGAATAATATGCCCCAATGACACCCACAGGACTACATTTATCTTGAGAATCCCCAAGAAAAAAGAAAAAAACACTCCCTTAGTGCTTATTCTCATTTGCAATTCAATGCTCCAAAGGATCAATGCTTTTACATCATAGAGACATTATGACAGCTTAAAAGAAAGAAAAGAGTTTTTTTCAGTCCTGAAGGCACTTAAAGGCAATGCAGAAAGATCAAAACCCAACACAAACGACGAGAGACGAAAGCGAGGTCCATAGGGATGTCTCAACTACAGCTCGTTTTGAACATTGCCCAACTTGTAGTAATTTCAGGCTTTGGTCCTCCGCAGTCCATCTCGTCGATTCTCTCTCTCTCTCTCTCTCTTTTTTTGTTGTTGTTCACTTTGAGTCTGAATTGCTCTCGACATGATTGTGACATCAATCCTCCGCCGGTTCAGCCAGCTCTCTTACATCTGAAGAAAGGAGTTCTGTCCTCCTCAACAACAGGTGACCTACATTAGAGGTTAAAGAGCGAGTGAAGCAGAATCGTATCTCTCTCCAGAGGGGCTCCGTGGATTTTTTTTTCTTTTCTTTTTTTTTTTGGTTATGTAAGTGGTTTTGTCTTTCAGTGTGCTCCACATGGAGTCTCACGCTTTCTTTAATGCGGACGCTTATCGGTTGATCACTTCTGTGAAAGCAGAGAAAGAAACAGCTGGGCCACTTTATCCATTTTTTTCGCCATTGGTCATTTGTTCGTTTTGGTCTGTGGCAACAGAAACATTCCAGCGCTCCTTTGCTAATCAAATCGCTTGGTTTATTTGTGCACCTGTCACATGATTTGTTGAGATGCAAATTGAGAGTAAGCGCATTGGCCAGCTCATTTTGCGCAGTTTATTTGTTTCTTACCAACAACCGATCGGCACGTTTAGACTGGGCCCTGCGCTGGTCATTTGAAGTGAAGTAGGGACCGGTCGGATCCCTTTTCAACGCCCAGCAGCAGAAGACCAGCATTGCGTACAGTGTGTGCATCTTTTAGGGGGCTAAAGCAGCCGTAGAGGTCAGAGGCGTTGAGGTTAGTTTCCCACGAGAGGGCTGAGGTCTCCATGGTGGTTCTTGAGTTTCTTCTTAAACAGAGAGATGGTGGAAGGTCTGTAGAAGATGATCCAGGGTTCAGACGTAGTGCTCTGCGCACACGAATCTGACCCGCTGATTGACGGGATGGATGGGGATCTGAGAGGGGGCGACAAACACAAAAAGACGATTGATTCACATCAGTCTTTTATGCGCTGCAATATGCCTGGTAAAAATCAAATGACATGTAAATTGTGCAGGCAAACATCCATTATGAGCAAAATAGACTCTGTAAATCTGACAACAGTGCAGTGATAAACCTGCACGACTTCCTTGCACCTGCAATAAAACCTTCTGTAAGCTAGTCTATTTCATCACAATTCTTCATCTCATGCTTAATAGTGGCATCTCAAATCGAAAAACTTTATAAAATATATTTAGTTTGTAGCATAGGTACTTACTTTACAGTAAGATGCAGGAGCAGCTTAGCTACCATGGCTATGACTGTTAGCGTTAGCAGAGCAGCTAATGCGTAGATGGTCCACACTGTAACACATGACATGTTTATTAGTGACAGACAGTAAAACTAATGCAGCCTCATAATTACAGTTACTAAAGGGGAAGGCTATCACTAGGAAAACTCAAGTACTAGTATAAAGAGTGGCTAGCTTTAGAAATGTAAAGCACAGAGCTAACAGCTAAAATTTGAAAGCTAACAATAAAAAGAATTAACATGATAACCATTTTCGCCAGCTCCAACATTACAGTAAAGTTACAACTTTAATATCATAATATATTAATGTGGGATCTCCCAAGGAAGCTTTCACAGTCTTTTTGTTAAATTTATCTTTTAACAGTCGTGGCTAATGTTACCACAGTATATTATAGTAACACTAAATGTAGTTATTAATATTCAATATACCCCTTATGGAAAACCCACATTAATTTCATGTGTTCAACATGTGTTTCACATGTGATCTCATGTGTTTCACAGGGGAATTTACATTGGATTCACACAAAAATGTTCCAAAAGCACACATTTCCCATGTGCAAAACACGTTTCCCATGTGGTTTTTCTTATTGATGGCTTTCCTGGAAATTTTGTGAAGCAACATTGTTAATATTGTGATGATTTTAATGCACTTTATACATGGCCAGTAGGTTCCCTAAACACTGTGTTATTAGACTAGTTTTGCTATCTTTAATATGTTTTAAAGCATTTCTGATTTAAACTTTAGTAGCAAAACATTTTTGCTACTAAAGTTTAAATCAGAAATTTTCAAATTTTAAAGATAATGTTTAGGGAACTCAGAAGTTGTTCTGTGGCTTTAACTTTAAAAAAGATTTAATCCAATAAATTCTACTGTTGAAAAGCTTGAGATCAGTAAGATTTTTTAAAAGTCTCTTATGCTCACAATTTATTTGATTAAAAATACGGGTAAAACAGCAATATTGTGAAATATTATTACAATTTAAAATTACTTTAAAATGTAATTTATTCCTGTGATGTCAAAGCTGTATTTTCTTTAGTGTCACATGATCCTTCAGAAATCATTCTAATTTGCTGATTTGGTGCTCAAGTAACATTTCTTATTATTATTAGTGCTATGTTTTACTATGTATGGTAATATTGGAGTATATATTTTTTTAACTAGATTAGTTTATTAAATAAATGTCCAATATACTTGCAAACAAATTACTGAGCAAATACATAAATATCAAGATATATATTGAATCTGAACTGTACAGGGATATCATTTTTAGGCATTTGGGCAGAAAGGATAGTTACCATGGTAAACTGTAGTAAGGTTAAGGTGATACATCGCCTGTTTTTTTTTTTTGTTTTTTTTTTTTTTTTAATACAGTATCCAGCTAAATTGTTACGTAATCTCACCAGGCTATCGGGCTATATTTCTTATATTTAGTATAAAAAAGTGAGGAAAGTAGCAGAACTGAAGCAAAATGAAGAGAACTGGACACATACTGGTGCTGTGGCCTGTGGTCCGACCCGGTCCAGGCCACTGACCTGGCATGTTTGCAGGACTTGATGTGATTACATGTGATTGATGTGAGTACAGGAGCGAGGATTTTCCACTCTGACTGGTATTTGATTTTGCTGTAGTGCTTCCCGTACCAGGCCGCACTGTACTGGTGTCCTCTTCATCACCATCGTCATCCTCTTCCACAGGTCTGACTCCTTGATTGCTTAAAGCTGTGGGGAGTTCATATGTGGTAATCAGCCAATAAAAAACAAACAGGAACCCAAAAACTCCTTGTTAAGATATGCTGATCATCTGATTAAAATTCATAACGTTTCCATTGACGTCCCCCCGGACATTACGGAGAGAGATTTCAAAGCTCTTTCAAAAAAACATCACGTCTCTCTTTCAGCGTTGTGGACGCAGATATAAACGCAGTATGTGGTGTTTGAATCAAAACTCTGCCTGCAGGGGAAAAGGGCCCTGTGAATAGTGAAAGCCAATTTGCTTCGCTGACCTTTTCTTTCAGAAAAACCTTTTTCCATTTCATACTTCCCAGCTTTTATTCTTCCTCAGATTGTGGTTATTGAACTCTGCCTCCCAAAACAACACAACAGAAAGTGACAGCGTGTCTGAAAATTGTATAGATATGACAAAAAAGCATCCAGAGAGTGCTGCTTACACACATTTGGTTTCTATTTCATTCTTTTTATATTACTATTTTAAAGTCATAAAAACAGCAGAGCGTGTTTAGTAACATCATATGATGCGTAATTTTAGAGTTATGTTGTTTTTAGTTTGTGTCTCTTAGCTATGAGTACATTTACTGTATGTGTCGTCAAATTCAACAAAATACACTAATCAAAAGACTTATAGTATTAAAGACTTAAAGTCCCACTCCGATCATATTTTGAGCTATTTTTAAACATTCTCAGTGGTCTTTAAATTATGATTATGCCATTTTTAGCCAAAATCACAAAACCTGTGCCGTTTTCTGGGACTTCGCTTCAGCAGAGCGGCAGTAGCTCATTAGCAATTCGCCTCTGCGTTGTGGGCGGAGCCGTTGGCACGGAGACGACCCTCCCCCTGCCCGTTGCTGAGAGCTCTGTCTCTCCCGCTAGCTTACATCCCCAATACCGGTGGGGCAACAGTATTATATACACGTTAATTATTATTATCCGAAGTTAATCAAAGTTATCACCGATCATTATTTCACTCCAAGAGGTCGCGTGTGGAGACGCCCAGTGGAGTTACTACGTCACAACTCCAGTCTATTTTAGCCGGCATTTTAGCGTCTGCTACTGATTCACAGCCATTTGAATGTAGAAATACTCAGAAATACAACTTTGAGCTTATTTTTCTCAAGATATGTCCTCTAACATCAGAAAAATGCCACAAGAACATGTTAACACCTAGAAAAACATTATTTTCATCGGAGTGGGTCTTTAAAAAGACAAAAGACTTAAAAAGTATTTATATATATATATTTTTTTAAGTCTCTAATACTCACTAAGGCTGCATTTATTTGATCAAAAATACAATAAAAACAGTAATATTGAGAACAATTCTTTAAAATGAACTGTACGCAGTTGTAAAGGTAAAAAATATAATATGTGTGTGTGTGTGTATTTTTTAACAATATATTAAAATAAAATGTATTTAATATATTTAAAAATGTAATTTATTCCTGTGACGTCAAAGCTGAATTTTCAGCATCATTACTCCAGTCTTCAGTGTCACATGATCCTTCAGAAATCATTCTAATATGCTGATGTATAGCTCAAGAAGCATTACTTACTATTATCACTATTGAAAACATTTGTGCTAGTTTTGTGAAAACTGTGATACATTTTTTCAGGATATTTTGAGGAATAGAAAGTGAAAAGAACAGCATTTATTTGAAATATAAATATTTTGTAACATTATAAATGTCTTTACTGTTATTTTGGATCAATTTAATGCATTTGCTGAATAGAAGTATTGATAAAAAGGTAACACTTTACAATAAAGATAATTTAACATTAGTTAATGTATTAACTAACATGAACTAACAATGAGCAACACATTAATTACAGTATTTATTAATCTTTGTTAATGTTAGTTAATAAAAGCACAGTCGTTCATTGTTAGTTCACAGTGCATTAACTAATGTTAACAAATACAACATTTGATTTGAGTATTTTTGTATTTTGATTTGATGATTAGTAAATGTTGAAATTAACATTAATTAAAAATAATAAATTCTGTAGAAGTATTGTTCATTCTTAGTTCATGTTAAATTATTGTAAAGTGTTACCGATGGGGGGAAAAAAGTGCAAAATAAAATAAAATAAAAAATCTTACTGACTTCAAACTTTTAGAATATATGTATGTAGAATTTAATTTCACACACTTTTTTTGTAACATTTGCAGTGATATGATTATATAAATCAGTCAAATGTTTCCAAATAAATATAAATCAAAAGAAATCCTCACCATGATAAAGAACAGAAAATCCCTGGGCCTCATTTGTCCTATCTGAGAAAAAATACAAAATGACAAAGTCTGCGGTGATGTTCACGATGTCCCGCGGTGGATTGCGGCCATCGAATCGTGCCACCACCCGATTGGAGTTTCCATCCAACAGTTCCACCATATCAGTCTGGTCCACGATATTGAAGAAAGTAAAGTTGAACAGAAGAACGGAAGCACCTGGAACCTGGAAGAGCAACATGACAAAGATAAGACAGCTGTCAGTATGCCAGATACATATTATGTGTTTTGGCTCTAGCAGGCTCTCTCTCCATTAGCATATTAAAAGATTATACCTGAATGGTCCAGTAGCAGACCCTGCCAGGTCTGTATTTGTCTGGGAAGTCAGGAGAGTAGATTACTGCAGAGGGCGATGAGTAGTTTCCTCCACAAGCGCCTACTTTTGCTATAGGAGAAAAGTGAGAGCTTAATTTTTTCCTTAACTTATAGTCCGAGTGCTTTGCACAGGTAATGAGACTGTGAAAACTTACTGTCGAAGACAATGACACGTCCGTCGCCTCCACATGGCTGGGTGTGGTCTCCAAAACACACATGGTTGCACTCTGTGCTCGGAGCATCACCGTGACGATGATAATCAAGGTCGTTGCCACAGAAACAAGCATAGCCTGATTCCATACCGGCGAGCTGGAAAAAAGTATTCACAAATGATCATAATTCTCTAATGCCTGGACAATCCAAGGGTGCAGGCAATCAGAAAAAGCCAGCAAAATACAATATATATTATTGATTTCATCCCACACAAGCAGATGCACATGATTACATCTTGGACAAATATTGATTCTTTTTTTCTTCTCTTTTCTTTTTTTCATTAACTGTGGAAAAATTGCTTAAAATCACAATTGTATAGAAAAGGTCATGTAAGTAATTTTAAGTATATTTTAAGTATATATATATATATATTTATATAATTGGGTATAGTATTTATATAATTGGGTAGCAATCTTGGATGTACTGTACATTTGTACTATATATTTTTTATTTTTAATGTAGTAAAGATGTATTATATTAATGTAAATCTAATTAGAATCACCATTAAGAATAATGTGAATTACAAAATAAATAAAGCTTAATTTATATATATATATATATATATATATATATATATGCATTTAGCTAGCATGCATTAAAACTTTATGCTAAATAAAATTTCTGGTTCTGATTTTGGGATGAAATGTGACCCATACTTGTTTGTAAAATTCCTCCATAAAGAGGTAACGTGTTTTATAAAAGAATGCATAATTTTAGCTATAAAATCTAACTGGACAAGCCACATTCATTGCTTTTGTGAAGGAACCAATATATGTACACGTGACAACACATGATTCTGTATTAATGTGCCAAAACATAGTGATAATAATTATATGGCGAGGTGGAAGACGTCTCCCAAACAAAACGCTTTAAATGTGGCATCGGTCTGTTCTATCACTTTCTATTGTATGCATGTCCCATGGTGAAATTGGTACCTTGTATCTTTGGTTACGGCAGAAGCTGATGCAGTTCTGAATGGTGAGTTTGTTGGAGGTCTGGTAGCCTCCGGATAGAGGTGTTGGATCGCCGCTGTCCTTAAAACAGCCCAGATTACCAGGCACTGAAAGAGAAAGATACAAAAAATGTAAACATATTTAAAAAAAATCACTGGAAAACATGACATGGCCATGGCCTTATGCCCATGTCGAAATTTAGAAACATCAGCCGCTATTAAATGCAATAACAGACACACTTGCAAATCATTAACTTCCTTCTGCCGGTAAATCGTCTGGAAACGTGTCTTAAAGACTGAGGTGTTTTATGAACTATGATTAAAACAGCACGCATGGCCCAAACAGTGTGAGAACGAAGACTGCCGTATGCGACTAAACCTCATCCTAAGGGAATGCACAGATGGATTCTGGGGGGTTTGTTAATTATAAACTGAATGAGATCTCAGGGTGAGAGAACACAGAGGTCAGAAAGAAAAAGAGAGGCAGAGAGAAAATGTCTGAAAGCCCATGTTGGTGCCATTAAGTGTGTGTGCTTTATCTATGAAACAACTAGAAATCAGCTCGCAAACCCAATCTTAAACCAGCAAGGTCAGTTGAGGCAATTTTTGGTAGTTTTTTTTTTTTTTTTGGCATGGAAAGACTTTGGGCTCGGAGTGCAAGGATATATAGCAACTAGGGCAAAATATTATTATATTGTTGTTTTCCATTTCATGCATTATCGATATTTATCATGATATCCATCTACCATTAATGGGAAAGTAATGCTTTCCACATATTTGTCAGACCTTGAGAATGATAGGCTGTTAGATTAATCCATATCCAGTGAAAATATCCAGAGCTTATTATCGTTATCGATGTAAATTTCATCGCAATCTCAATATGATATTCTTTATCGCCCATCCCTAATAGCAACCAGCCAGAAACTTCATAGCAAAGTGCTAAAACCATTCAGAGCACCCAGCAACCATTCAGAGGAATTCAGCACACACATAATGTTACATGCCTTTTATGCAAGAAATGAATGGATGATTGGGATTTGTTTGTGTGAACGTAAGTGTATCTGTTCTATCTGAAGAGTTTTACAGAACCATTTAGATGACAGTGTAGGATAAATAGTGAAAGGTTTGATTGCAGACTGGTGATAAGGATTCAAATAACCCTCTCAGACACTCCAGAACTCTCCAAGAACACATCTCAGCACGTCAGCACTTGCACAGGCCTTGTTCCGCTCGCTGGATACAATGAAAAGTTTTGTTTTCAAAGGGATATACACATGGGGGCCAACTCAGGCCACACACACACACACACACACACATTCTGTTTCTCTGTGTCTGTGTGGAAGTGTTTTACTGAAATATTTCATGCTGTTTGATGAACAGTGAAATTACAGCAGGAAAAGTTTGATAATGAAGTTTATGCAGTCAGTCAAAACACACACAGATTACTACACAACAGATTGTGACTGTAAAATTAATCTCCATATAAACAGATCTCGAGTGGGTTTGCTGAAAATAAACAAACAAAGTAATTATTAAAGGCAATATCAACTAATAAATACACTATTTAAGGAGGACATACTATTAAATATTTATTAAAAAAAATAGTTTGTTACAATTTCTTGATCCAAAGACATGACCATTTTACACCATCTGGCGATGTCACGCGCACGACGTCACGACGTAATATGTTCTGTTTGACGGATTGTGTCGCATAATACAAAATTGACTCTTTCAATGAAGACTGATTAGGCTAATTTCATAATAGAAAAAAAAATCAGTTTTCCTTTGTATGCAAATATAATATTCAAAATGACCATAACATAAATGTTAGCTATAATATGAAGCATAAGTCGAGTTGAACAGACAAAGACTGTGCAAACCCTACAACTTTCCTGCTTGTCTAAACACAGACATGTACAATATAATCCACAGTCTGTTCCTCTTATTAATCAGAGTGTAAAAAACCACCACAAACTGCAGTGCAGCGTGTTCCTCCCCCTCATAAATCTGGAACAATGTGCACACGAGCGGAGTTGAGTCAAACACGGGCCTGTTTAGTGGACTGGATCTGAAGATGATCCATCGCTGCCAGCGAGGAATTTCTGGGTGGAAATTAAATGGAAGACTGCATGTAATTATGATCGTTAGATAGAGGACAAAAGCCTTAATTACACTGATATGCTTTTACAGAGAACAGAAACTAATTTTTCACTCTCGGATGCCTAGGGAAGAGGGGGAAAAAGAGAGTATTTCTCTTGGCCGTTCCTTTGCCACTTCAATGGCAATAGCTCTGAACTTGAAAGCAGGACATTCTGCTCTCCAGGGCTCATGCAAGATTAAAGACCGCAGATCTTCTGCTTCTGACAGAGTGATTGTACTTTACCATCAATTTATCTGTCCTTTACCTCTCATCACGCACCGGGTTTGCATCCCGCTGCACGAAAAAGGACACATCTCTTTCACCAGCACAGCTGCTGTTTTAGCAAACGCCATGTTTTTTTAGTTAACTTACCTCAGAAAACTTCAAAAGAGTGTTGGAGAACGTACCTCATGCAGTTAAGATGTGCTGAACATGGGTAACAACTGCAAATATCCATGCTTTAAAAGTAATACAATCGACTTCAAAGTGTAGAGTGGAATTTGAAGATTTTATAAGGCGCTTGGCTGGCGAACGCAATGGCATTACGTGTGCTAATGTGCCTCGTTTAGACTGGCTCGCATCCAGATACGGCTTTCAGGAAACACACACTTTCACAATGGAAAGATGCAACGCATGCACACACACACACACACACACACGTCTACTTTTTACAGGCCTGCATCTGCATCTCAACATGGAAAGAACTGGAGTCTTAAATTAAACGCAGTTGGGAATGTGGCTGGTTCCACTGCTGAAATACATAAAATTATTAAATGCCTCACAAAAACACAGTGATATTTGATACTACGCAGGCCCATGATGAAATATCTATTCAGTGTTTTTTTTTTTTTAAGATTGCTGGTTTGATTGGCGGTAGGGGCAGCCAAGGAACTCTGATGACATTTACAAGTGTGCCCTTGAGCAAGAGACCTGAGTTAGTTCACAGTAAATCACTTTAGAGGAAAACTATCTGCTAATGACAAAAGAAAGAAGAAAAGTCGCTTCACCCTGATGTACAGCTTACAGGCATAGATCGTAACAGTTTGAAAAACACGTTAGAGTACGATCTCATTCTAAAAATGGCAGTGACCTTTTCCTATTGCAAGTAGAGCTGTAAAGCTAAAACTAATTTAGTGTGATTAATTATTTAAAAATGCAATGAAATGTATTTTTCCTATGTAAATTCTTTTCAATCATAGGATTTTCAGATTATTGGAGAAACTCAAGTGCAGCCTTTATGTTTTTGCGAGCGCAGAGTCAGCATAGACCCAGCTGCTACCCCAACTACCGAGGAACGTGTGGTAAGCAGGACAGGACAGGACAGGACAGTTGCGTGATTGCTAATGAGTGTCACCTGCACGCCACACCGGGCTCGAGTGTCTCACGGAGGAGCTCCAGATTGATAAAAGGAGGAGCGATGACAGTGAAGGATGAGAGAGGACCAGGCCTGGACTATTTATGTTATGTTTTGTTTATATGTGGTGGGAGTCGTCCGTGAGGGGCTGCCTTCGTCCGTTCCTGCCTCTTTCTTCCCTTATCAACAAACCTCATTACAGAACGTTCTCAGAACTTTGGTTCTCTCAGAGTTACAAACAAACCTTCTAACAGTAACATTAATACTGTAGAATGTTAGTTCAAAGTTATCTGGTCTTTAATAATGTTCTCAAAACATCAGCACAAAAACGTTATTTATACATCACTCATGGAATGTTTTTTAGTTGGACGTTGATCTAACGTTTTTGAAATGTTACTACTTGTTCCGGAACGTTCAGAGAACATTCACAAGATTCTAAGTTAGCTAGATGCTAGTCTCACCCTCAGACGTCACGCACACAAAATTGAAAACACTTCAGAAGTTTCGAAGTTGTCTTCTGATTGGATGAATTCTACAGGATTTCTGGAAGACGTGTGTGACTTGTTCTTTAATGATCCACCTGGAAACAAAGATGCTGCGACGCCAAACCCCCTCATGGAAAAAGGAAGCCATCATGTTTACAACTGTGACAATGAGGACTCTTTATATGAGAGCTCTTTATAAGACTCTTTAAAATAAGTCCAAGCGTTTTACACACCGGTCTGTTATTGTAGGGACATCAACGTTACGTTTTCACGCCCATAAACATGACGTGGAACAAAACAAACTGCGATTGGTTACTTTACATGTCAGCCAGACGGCCTATGGGCGGTCCTTGACCAATGAAAGCTGCGATGGAGTCCAGACCTTCTGCCGTCAGTCTGAAGGTCTGGCTACGTGAGACTAGCTAGATGCGGATGAAGGTGCGAGATATGACGCTACAGCTGAAGAAGACAATGTGTATCATCTATGAATTAATATAATTTGCTGAATTATTAATTAACAATGATTAATTAATAAGCATATCGTTGCCACTACGCTGGAATGTTACAAAAAAAGCAAATGGGGCCGATTTCATTTTGATAAAGTGTGGTTATTGTTAACTTAAACTATTAAAAAATATATATAAATTGAAATTGTATTAAATATTAGATGAAAACCTTAAACTTAAAAAATGTGAACAAAAATTAGAAATGACAACTGACTGAAATAAAATAAGTTTACTAAAAGTACTAAAATGACTAAAACTGAAATAAAAATAAATAAAAAGCTAAATAGAACTGTCAAAAAAAATAATAACATGGCAAAAGCACAACAAAACGACTCAAACTTAAACAAAAATGTAAATAAATAAAATTATAAAATATAAAAAATTAAATTCTAAATATTCATAAATATTATTTAATATAATCGCATCTAAAGAATACACTCAAAAAGGAATCAATTATTCAATTAAAATACGCACAGATTATTCAATAAAATTTTAATTGAAAATGTTAATTGAAATGCATAAATGTATCCTTTGTAACCACATGTAGCATGTACTTGTATACATGTACGATAACTTTTCCAATTTCAACCCCGATCCTTAATCACAAGGCCACCAGCACTCAT